GGATGGGGGGACTGTCGGAAATGGAGGGGATGGTGGCTGGCTGGCTGCCATTAATGGAGGGGGAGGGGGAGGGGCTGTTAAAGGGGAAGGGGGAAATAAAATAAAATAAAAAATTAATTTTCTGATTATTTTTTAAAAAAATTGGTTCAGTCAAAAAAAAAAGGACCACTCACGTGGCGACACGTGTCCAGCAACCTAGAATAAAAGATTGTTGACTTTTGTTGACCGGTTTGGGTATGAAGAACGATAGGCCACCTTAAAGTTGGGATTATTGAGGAATAATCTAAAGTTGAGATTAATGAAACTAAATTGGTGAAAGTTGGGATTAAAAAATGGTATTAATCCATATATGAAAAGTGCCGCTATTTTTCTATCAATTATGCTTTTGGTTACAATTACTTGCTTAAACTAAAGTAGGAGTTTTAAATTAGGGGTACGTTGGTTTTAGCTTATTTTATCTTATTTTGTGTTAATTGTTTTTAATTTTAATAATTAAAAATTATGATAATCTCTTATTTGGAATATTCATATTAATGGAAAATTGAATTAGAGCAAATTTAATTGAATAAAAAATATTTAAATTGGATCAGGTAACATAGCCTAATTCACCTAACAAACTTTTGAAACTAGCGATTGATGTCATTACATGTGTATTTTGTTCAACACAATTTTGAAAAATTAAATTTAGATTAATTCAGTTGAATAGAGCTCATCGTAGATCTTCTATGGTTGATAATGTTAACACATTATTTTAGATCTAGTTCAAATAATAATAATAATTGGGAATCCCAATTCTAAAGTATTTTACAAGTAAAAAATTTAACAATGAAATGCAAACTACGCAAAATAATGTAAGATCAGTAGATCACTCATTGCGTAAGCTTACGGCCAAGATCGCATCAATTATTGCATACGTTTTACGTATGATATTACACTAGTGGAGGGGATTTGGTCCCCTTAATTAATGGCCATAAATCTCGTTTTATTATTAATCAATTAGGGTGTGATCCGAGCTTCGTTGCGGGTGATACTTTTACTAATTTTATTTTTATATTAGACGTTTTAAAAGTCTGGTTAACTTTTATACTGTGGTTAAATTATAATACAATGACAAAAATAACTCACTTTGGATTTATTTTGTTTTTATTCTACATTTTAATACTTATATAAATGTGAATTAATAGAACATGATTTATTTCAAGCTAAGATGGTAATACATGTTGTTTTCATTCAATAAAATTTTGGGTTCGCATCTCTTTGTATGCATTTTTATTCATTGAATGATGTTGTGGTATGATGTTAAAGATCGTTGAATGATGATGTGGCGTAACAAATTTAGACACGCCTTTTAATATATAGTTAAATTATCATTTTCACCACTTTTTTGCTAAATGAAACAGCTAAGCACTTACCATTAGAAACAAAGGGGGCATGCTTCATGGAATCATGGGTCTATGTCCCTTTTTGACTTTTTGTCTGCCATTTGATAAGTTAGACTTCACTTATTACGTGCTTATTAGCTTAATTATATAGTTTAGTTATTGTATTATTGTGTCTTCTTGTCAAAAAAATTATTGTATTATTGTGTATTAAATATTTTTTTTTTTCTTTTCATCAATGGATCATATATTCATATTATAGATTAAAGGCCGTTTAGTTGAATGTGGGAAATACAAATTCTTTGGAAATTTATATTTTCATGTGATTGAAATTTCTAAAAAATGTTAAATTGTGTTTGGTTAATCATGGGAAGTGGAAAATTACATGGGAAGTCCACTTACCTAAGTCTCTTTAGGTAATTAAACTCCTCCATTTTGTGGGAAGTGGAACTTCCTAGGAATTTGTCAACCAAACAACACAAACGAATTTGTATTCCTAGGAATTCCAACTTCCCATGATTTTTTTTGTCAAACAAATGACACCTAAAAATAATAAAAGTACATGAATGAGAAAGAAATGATATGCACTTGCCCATGCATATTAAGTAGCCATTGAGGGACTGTTTGGTTGAACTTCTTAGAAATGGGTTGGAATGGATTACATAGCTTTATTTGTTTGGTTGGGCTATTTAAGTATGGAATCTCATACATGGGAAATTCTATCTCCACCCCATTCCCTTGGAATCTCATACTCACCTCCTTCCCAAGAATTCATAATCCATACTACTACTCAAGTATGAGAATCCATTCTATGATTAAACCAAACAACTTTAGATTGATATGGGATATAAAATTCATACCATCCAATTATGAGAATCCATACCGATTCATATCAATCCATTCCAACTTAGTGACTAAAACCTAGATATCTAATTGATTTTTTTTAAGCCTATAATTGCTCTTATTATACTTCGAAATTTTTTTCTTTACTTTTTTCTGTTGTACTTTGGCTTCATATTCTCTCTCGATAAAAGGAAATCATTGCCCGTTTTGGTCTTTCTTGTTATAGGGAGACCATTAGCATCATTTACTTTCTAAATAAAAATAAGGCCAAATTAGAAAACAACACCTACAAAAAAACTTGATTTTGATTATAACACCAAAGCATTTCGAAATTTTATTATACCACCTACAAAAATCCCAAAATTTTGGTTTCACCATCCACTAACGGACTTTTGGATGAAAACCGTTAGTGGGGCCTGCCATGTACACGTGTCAGCTGTGTATTGGTTTAAAAAAAAGAAAATTTTAAAAAAAATAATAAAAATAAAAAAATAACCTAACCCCCTAACCCAGCCAGCCCCACCACCGGCACCACCTGCCCAGCCGCTGGCATCACCTGCCCTCGCATAATCCGGTTAAACTAGCCCCAGCCCAGCCTTACCGCCAACGCCACCCTAACCTAGCCCCTCACCTGAAACCACCCTCTTTCTCCTCCCGCCAGAAACCGACCCCCTCCCCTAGCCTCACCAAGAACCCAACCTCAGCAGATTCCGGTGGTGTTGCTGCGCAAAAACTGATTGAAATCGCTGCGAAATTCAGCAGATTCGCAGGTGGTTCTCCGTCAATTCGCAGGTGGTTGTCCGGAAGATTTCGTGGCTCAAGAAACCGGCTGAAATCCTGCAAAATCTAGTGAGTTTCGTTGGTGAAGTTCCGGCGATTTCGCTGCTCAGGAAACCGTTAATTGCAGGCGTTTTCGCGGAGGGTTGTGGTGGGTGGGGGTGATTTTTCGGGGAGAAGGAAGGGGGAAGGGGATTTACGGGGGGGCTGATGTTGGTGGGGGTGATGGCCGGTGGTTTCGCCGGTGAAGGAAGGGAATCCGAAAGCAATTGGGGTCTCCTACGGTGTAGTGACGGTCGGCGGTGGTGGGGCTGGTGGTTGGGTTAGAGTTTAGGGGTTTTTCTTTTTTTTTTAATTTTAATTTTAATTTTTATTAATTTTTATTTTAATTTTAATTTTTATTAATTTTTATTTTTAAGCCAATAAACAACTGACACGTGTTCCTAGTGGGTCCCACTAACGGTTTCCATCCAAAAAACCGTTAGTGGGTGGTGAAACCAAAATTTTGGGATTTTAAGTGGTGTTATAATAAAATTTCGAAATGTTTTGGTGTTATAATCAAAATCGGGTTTTTTTGTAGGTGTTATTTTCTAATTTGGCCTAAAAATAAATACTTCGTATAAATTTTTACTTCATATTTATTAATGATTGATTTGTCGATTGAATCACTAGATATCAAATCAACTCGATCAGTTAGTTGGTTATATACTTCCTCCGTTTTATTAATATTGCAACAATGGACTTTTTGCACTATTCATCACTCTTGTTTGACCATATATTATGATTTATACGTTAAGCAATATATAGTCATGTGAGATCTTGTTGGATTCGTCTCATAAAATACTTTCACAATATCAACTTTGTATATTTTTTATTCTTACACAATTATAGATATTTAGCATATAAAATGTGTTTTGGGATGCGTAATTTTATCCTTGTTGCAATATTAATAGAATGGAAGAAGTAGAAAGTAGTGTCCAAGGCAGGAATCACATCATGCTACAACATTCAAGGGCGGATCTTGGATTGGCAGTGATCAGAAGCCCACCCCCGCCCATGCCTCCCACTTAATCTGAATTGTTGGTTATAAGTAATATGATATTTAATAAATATACGTAAAGAGTTGTGGCATAGTGCTTAAGTACGTACTTAAGTGATGTTATATATAATTGAGCAAAAAGTTTAAAGATCAAACCTTGACCCCCCCCCCCCCTCCCAGTTTTGATCCAAGATCCACCATTTCCCTTATAGTTCCTTATGTAGAAATGAAATACCTTTATAATCTTTAAAAGTAGAGTGGTTTATACCTCCTACGTTCTCTTTCACTTGATCAAAACAATTTGACTTCAATAATTAATGTATTTTATTATCAATAAGTATGTTGAGACGATTTTGACATGATCTCATCATTTGACTATATTTTGTCTTATCAAATAGAACTTTGTGAATAGTAAATACTAACATGTTGCAAGTAAAAGAAAACGGGGAAATTATTTTTTACTCGGATACAAAATAGGAAAGGAAAAGAAACTATTATATCATTTATACGTTCATCTTTTTGCTTTTAATCCTTGTTTTTGGAACTTATTATAGACAATCATAGTTAGAAAATTGTTTTAAACAAGAAAACAAGAATGGAATTTCTATTGTTGAATTACTTTTTAGAACATCCACATGACTAGTATAAGTAAAACCGATTATTTAGTTTATTCCACACGAAATAACTTACTTCCTTCGTTTCATATTAATTCACATGTTTCATTTAGATATTTTTGTCAATACATATGTACGTATTAGCAAAAGTAATAAAAATTTTGATATTTGGAAAATAGAAGTTGAAACTAATCTGACATAACCCCACATGATTATGGTTTTATAGCACTAGATCACAAAACGAAGTCAAAGTAAGGTATGTTATGTAAATAGTGCATAAAATCAAAACGTGTCAACTAAAAAAAAACAGAAAAGTATTTTATATGGAACAAGTATTGACCTATGAAATCTCAATACGGATAGCCTAGTGTCCAACATTAACCAACATCCTTCATAAATATATAGCTATGTATGATATGACCACTAAACTATGGTTAATACAAAACACAAACTCAAAATTATGGAATCCAAAGCAAGTATGGGTGGAGTGCATGTTATAGTATTCCCTTATCCAATTCAAGGTCACATAAATCCCATGCTACAATTCTCTAAACAACTTGCTTCAAGAGGCCTATATGTTACACTAGCTACCACTTCTTCTTTTTCCTCTAAATTCCATGACTTAAAATCAAGCTCAATCACTATAGAAACCATATCCGATGGTAGCACCGAGGCCGCAACACCGGGAAATTTCGAAGAATACATGAAAAAGTTTGATGTTGTTGCACCACGGAGCCTAACTCAACTAGTTGAACATAAAATTGGAATTGGTCATAACGTTAGGTGCCTTGTGTATGACTCAGGCATTCCATGGGCTTTAGATATAGCTGAGAAATTCGATATCGAAGGGGCGTCTTTCTTTACGCAATCTTGCCTAGTTAGCTTGATATTTTATCAAGTTCATCAAGGTATATTGAGTGTACCAATTGAAGGTCCAGAAATTTGTGTTCCTGAGATGGCTTTTGATGCACGGGACGTGCCATCCTTTGTTCGTCGTGTGGGTTTGCATCCTTGTTTAGAGAAGCTTGTGATTAATCAATTTTCGAATTGCGGAGATGCTAATTGGCGATTTTTCAACACTTTTGATGGCCTTGAGAGTAAGGTATGTTTATGTAATTTTGGTTCTTGCTACTTGATTTTTATTATATCTTCGTTCTTTCATTCTGTTGGACCGTCTATGAATAATGATGGTTATAACTTCGTTTTTTTGTTTTGTCAAAATGTATCTAAATAATAGGTCACATCTGAATGGCAGTTATTTTAAGTTTATACATTAAAACTATATAAATGAACCATATTAATGTGATCTTTCCTTAAAGTTTTTAGTTAAGATAGAGTATCAAATAATTAGTTCTACATGTATAATTGTATGCAAAGTAACTTTTAATCCTACCCTACTCTTATGTGGACTATTAATTTAATTAATGAATTAATTAGGATGGAGATGATATGGAGTAGTTATATGATTTTCCAACTATTAAAATTTTGAGTAATGACTAGCTACTCAGAGTAAATTGGGTCATTGTGAAGATAATTGTGTTATAAATGTTCTATCCGGCCACAAGCCCATAATTGATCCACAATTTTACTTTACAATATTTTAAGTTGGAGTAATTTTTAATCGGTTTTGGCCTTTAGGGACAACTTTAGGTAGCTATTTGGGACAACTTATTTTATCTAGAAATTATAAATATTATCTAGATTTTTCACTGTAATCTATTAGCTATTATTAAAACAAAAAGTGCTAATGTGTTATATTCCTTAAAGTGTCTTATGTGTCAAGCTCTCATTAAAAAAATATCCCTCCAAACTTCAATATGATGTCATCATTTTATTTTATTTTTTATTTTTGTTTTGCCTTTTCATTTTACTTGCTAGCCCCCTATGACAAAGTAGTTATGAATTGAAACTAAAAATCTGAAACTTGAGTTTTGTATCAATATTGTTGTATACTTTGTACTAATTTTGGATATTCCTAATATTGTACAACAATATTTAATAGATATAGATACTGTGTCTTTAACTTTCACTCTAAACATATAAGCTCAATAGATAATGCAACATTAAATATATTTTGTCTGACCATCATTTTAATATATTTTCAATAACATAGTAAATATTATGATGTAGCATAAAAAAATAACCATTAAAAAAAAGGATTATGTACATGTTTTTTTATATTTATAAAAAACATATTTATACAGAAAAATTAAAAATAAAATAAATTAAAAAATTTATCAACAACAAAAAATATAAAAAAATATATATAAATTAATTACTTATCACCACCGTGCATTGCGCGAATACTAATCTAATTAGTCCTATATATGAGTGTGCCATAACTTATTGTAGAACGTGGATACAAAAGTTTATGATTGATAATTTTGATTTACAAAAATATGTTACATTGAGCCTCTTTCGTATCCGACATTTATTGCATCATTGCATGTAAAGATCAGAACGTGCAAATGTGCAATAGAATGAAGTTGCATTATAAGGCTGCACATGAATGGCTAATCTTGAATAATCATGATAGATTCAATATTTTTGAATTGAGTGGAAATCCATGCATTGGTGGATCTTAATTTAGAGGGTTTTTTTTTTTTAGTGCGTTCTCCATAATTCTCAATAGAAATATCCCAAGCACGATATTAATGTCATGTTCGGTGGTATCAGCGGATAATGTTTTAACTAGCTAGGTCAAAATACTTATTGGAAAAAATAAGAGTGTTGGATAAGGTATTGGTTTAATTTCGATAACGGTTAATGGTAGAGATAATGTTGAATAGCATTTCTCAAATATAAAAAATTACTTTAGGGTTAACTCAATTAATTAAATGTACTCGCGCTATCTCTAGTTTTCCAAACATGTCCTAAATAAAGTTAAAATGGGAAAACTTTAATTTACAAATTATTTGACTCAGGAATATGAGAAAAGAAGACTAGTTAAGGCTTGAACTTGATTGTGTTTTCTAAAATTATAAGACTAGTATTTATCAATTCTAAGTTCTAACCACTTCTAAAACACAACTTTTGAGTGAGGTTTTTAATTTCTACTTTTCTAGTCACTCTATTGAGGTCAAGCGTCCCCGACCACTTGCAAATCAATCAACACTAACTTTTATATGTGGCTGGCCACACCATGGGGTTTTTCGGTTAGTGTTAGAGGTGTTACTCTATTAGGGTTATAGAGGTTACTTATATTACTCCTATAGTAATATGGGAGTTACTCTGTCAATGTTGTTGGAGTTACTTTGTTATTTAAGGGTTAATCAATAAGTACAATAAGGGGTTACTCTATTTGTATATTATTATAGGGGTTACTCCATTTTTTATTACAATCGGTCATACAGTGTCGCCAACTGCATAGAAAATGCATTTAAACTTTATATTTTATATACAGTAGATTTGTTAAAATTAACTTAGTACTTGTAAAAAATGTCTACAGATTATTCATTAGATTCTACCGCCAACTTTGGTATTTTTCTCTTCCCACAACTCTCATATTACATGGGTTAGAAAAGTACCAGAGATTAACTTTGCAACAATTGTCCACAATTCTACAAATTACTCTTTATATTAGATTCTATTGATCAACATCACTTCACCAATTTTTTTCCCATCACACAATCCTTATAAAGTTATAGGACTTTTTGTGAGAAACTACCTAATAAAATCTAAATTTTGTGAGAAACTACCTAATAAAAAAAAATGTTGTAAGAAACTACCTAATAAAAAGTAAAATGTTGTAAGATACTACTTTTGACCGAATTTCTATCGTTGACTTAATTTTACGACGTTGATCCACCTTGAAACACCCCGAAACTACCGTGAGGGCTGGTTTTCAAGGTGGTAAGGTTATTTTCGGTGTGGTTGGAGGATTTTCCGAGTTAGTGAGGGTAGATTAGTGCTTCGGGGTGGTGGTTTTTGAGGTTAGAGGTGGTGGTTCTGGGGTTGAAAGGTGGTTTAGGTGTGGTGGAGGCGATTTCAAGCAAGTTGTGTTAGTTAAAGCGGTGGTTTCGAGAGTGTTTTGAGGTCGGTCAACTATGGAAATCCGGTATAGGTAGTATTTTAAAACATTTTACTTTTTCTTAGGTAGTTTTTTACAACATTTTACTTTTATCAGGTAGTTTATTACAACATTTTTTTTATTGGGTAGTTTTTCACAAAATCTAGATTTTATTAGGTAGTTTTTGACAAAAAAATCCAAAATTATAATACAGGGTTAGGAAAAATACTACTGCGTGGTTTCATTAAAATATCCAATACATAACATGTCAGTTCATCACTTGACACCCCTCCTTTATTAATTATCTCCCACAATAATTAAACCTACAGCCTTTAGACTGTAAGTGTTTTGGAACAAATTTAATTGTGATGCTTGAACTTCGATACAAAATAAACATTAAACTCAACTTAATACTTATAATTGAAAACAGTAACATAATATGTCTTCAATTCATCACGTGACACCCTATCTTTACTGATTGTATCCCACTATAGTTAAACCTACAACCTTTAGATACGATAGTGATTTTTTTTTTTTGGGACAAACTTGATTGTGATGCTTGAACTTAATATAAACATCAAACTTACCTTAATACTTATAATTGAAAAGATTCAAAAGTATCGAATGAGAGACGAGTGTATTATGTGACGTTTTCACTCTTACCCATCTTAAAACTCGTTTTAATTCAAGTTCTCCTACCCCCTATGAATTTTTCGTCCCCTTCATCTAAATTAGCTCTTTCCGTCCACAGTGAAAGCTCTTGAAATAAATTGACAATATTGGTTTGTTCATCCATCTTTCATCATCAACAAATCAATTCAGGATTCCATAACTCGTACCTTCATCACACATCCCATCATTCATCATTTCGTACTTAACCTTATTACCAATAATTTTATTCTTACACTCTTGTCGACTTATAAAGAAACACATATAAAAACGGATGTTATAGATGTAGTAGTAAGCTAACAAATGTAGATAAATTATAAATCAATGCTACCACAAGGGTTTATATTGGCAACCAATTTAAATGACTTGATAAAATTAAAATGGCACTAATCAAATCTAATTCAAACCCAACATATATATGTGGCCAAATATCATTTGTCATTATATGCTCACTCAATGTTAGCTTGTGGAGTAGTCCTTTTAGCAACGACAATTTCCCAATATTTTATCGCTCTTTCACCTTGATATCAACTATCATGGCTGACCTAGTCCACCAATTTATTTAATAATGTCATGCGTAGTTTTCCAGAATTTAAGGCCATACGAAGTATATGCTAAAATTGATGACATATACTCCATATATAACAAAGCATTAGACATTTAGACGCATATTTTATTTTATAAATATGGCATTGGCATTATGTGCCTTTGACAGCCACTATATTAAGAACACAAATTTTTATATGTGGCTGGTCATGGTGTGGCCAGAGTTACTTATTAAGAACTTATTTATTTTGGGGTTACTCAGTTAGTTAGGGGTTACTCGGTCGGTCATGGGCTACTCTCATACAGAAAACGCGCTAACCGACTGAATAACCCAGAATAAGTAACCCTTGATCGACTAAGTAACCCCTAAATAAGTAACCCCGGCGAAAAAATGTGCTAACCGACTGAGTAACCCCAGACTAAGTAACCCTTGACCAACTAAGTAACCCCTGAATAAGTAAACCCGGTGAAAATGCGCTAACCGACTGAGTAACCCCAGAATAAGTAACCCTTGACCGACTATAACCCCGCCCACACGATGTGGTCAGCCACACAGAAAAAGCACCGTATTATGAAATGAGAGAGTATTATGATGAAATTTGACATGCATGGTGCATGTATATATAATTCAAGCTTCTAATCATCTACATGCATGAATAATCTTACATACTTTTTATTAAATTATCTGACATAATAATTCAATAATCCCTAGTTTTAAACTCATTAAGATTATGTTCTCATGATGCTATAGAACAGATAAAAAAAAAACAAGTATTTTCATGTTTAGGCCAGAGAATTATTGTGCAAATCATTTGATATAATTAAAAGAGCATGATCCCAGATTTGGATTATATATAATGATCTACTCTTAATATAATACTAATAACTAATCCAAAACATAATTAAGAGTTGAACTTATTTATGATGTTGGATAAGTTTGAGTGTTTAAAAAGGGAATGGCAACAAACTTGAACAATACGTGTTACAATTTTCTTGTCTTTCTATGAAATATTTTTCTAGTTACCTAATATATTACTACTGTCTTTATTGTAAAGTCAAGCAAACTAGGAAAAAACCGTTGTATATATGTGCAATTTGTATTTGTAATGCAAATATGTAGGGTTTCGTAATCAACATCACTATTATCTTCTCTAGTTAAATGCTATGAAGGATTCTAACTCCAAACCATGAATGTTGTTGATATTTGATTGGCATGAATACGATTGCTATGTATTGTACGTACACAAAGTTGTATCGCAATTTAGGAGGTATCTAGGGCAGTGAATGCTAGACGAGTAAGTAATTTATAACTTACAGAACTTTAAGCTTCAAGACATCACTTATCATATACGTATATTGATATTTAAAGTGTCAACAATTTGTAGGCTATTAAGCTAAACCTTAATTATCAATAATATTACCACTTAATATAATATTCCAAACTAGGATTAGGAACTAAAGAAATTATTAAATCAACTTGCAAGAGCTAATGAGCTAAGTGACTACCTATTTCCATAAGTTGCTGGTTCCCAAATATTTTGGGACATTGTTACTTAGGTATACTTACTATCCTTCCACCCTCAAATTAAACGTTACTTCTCTTAGCTTTTGGCTTCTTATTCGTTTCATATTAGAACGTGGCATGCATAACTTAAACATGCATGAAAATGGACAAACAACTATTTATATCATGAACCAATTTACATCCATATATAAATACGAAAGGAGAGAAATATCAAAGAATTCTTATTACTTCATAAACATTATTGGTGTGTAATGGAGGGTGAAGTTTATCAAAAACCAATTAAAGGAGCTCATGTTTTAGTACTCTCATACCCATTACTAGGCCACATTAACCCTATGCTTCAATTCTCAAAACGCTTAGCTTCTAAAGGCCTCAAAGTTACCGTAATCACCACCACAAGTATCTCCAATCAATTATGCCCCCAAACCATGGGTGAATCCTCGAGCAACCTCGAGTTTGTACGTGTATATGATGGTTACGAGGAAGAACCCAATAAAGTAGACGTTGAGGCATACCTTAATCGTCTAAGGGTGTCCATTTCCCGTAGCTTGTTTAAACTCCTTGACTATTACAAGCAAAATAGCATATATTTTTACCCTACACCAAAAATGGTTATTTATGATGCTTTCATGCCTTGGGTGTTACAAGTGGTAAAAAAAAGTGGACTTGAAGGGGCTTCTTTTTTTACACAATCTTGTGTGGTTAATTCTATGTACTACCATGCTTATAAAGGTGATTTAATCACTTCTCTAAGCGGGTCGAATCTTGTGTCTTTGCCTTCAATTGGGTCGTTGTTACGGGTTGATGATTTGCCTAGCTTTGTTTCAACTCCTAGCTTATATGCAAATGCATTGGTCAAGGTTTTGTTGGATCAATTCTCAAATTTGGTAGAGGTGAATTGTTTGTTTGTTAATACCATGGATGTGTTGGAGATTAAGGTATGATTTTTATTAATGTAATAACATATATGTGCATGAGGAGTGAAATACAAAGTTTTTTTTAGAGTATGGTTTAGCCAAACTAACTAATTAATGCTATATTTAAATTCCTTAGTGGAAATAGGATTTTCTGTCTAATTGGAGAGATCAAAAAGAATTGTATGAATTTAGCTTGTCCCATTATACTTATTATACTCGCTTTGTTTCTGATGTTTGTCTGGAATGATGTGTGCTAAGTTAATGTTTGAAATTTTTTTATTATAAATATTCAGTGATATACTTCTCCGGATCTATTCCTAAATAAAGTTTCATTTGTTTTAATAAATGCGGGCGTAATTAATTAGGAGAATAATGAAGGAAGAAAATAGTGGAGAATAGAAATAAAGTCTCGATTTCTATAGTGTTTAAGAGAAATAAGTGCATTTTATTAGTCAAATATGGAGTATAGTTATTAGCAAAGAAATTGAGGCTACGTTCACTTCATGATCAAATATTCTAATTTGACTAATAATTTGACATTTTATTGTACACTAATCTTTAAGATAAAGAATCATATAAAGTAAAGAATAAAAAAATAAAGAAAAAAATAAAAAAAAAAAAATTAGATTCTTACTACTTTTAATTTAATACTCCGTATAAAGTTTTATACATTTAACATTTGTAATAAATAAACAAAAATAAAATATGAACAAATATAATCATTTTCAAAATTAGCAAATATGTGATTAAATAAGTTAAATTGGACATATGGCTCCGAGTTCATACGGCTCATTTTCTTGGTAGACCCTACAAGGCCCTTAACTTGAAGTGGCATGTGGAGTGGAAAGGCCGAAAGAGTAACTGGAAAGTAGTGGACTAGTGTTACTATTGAGGACAATGAGGAGTACCATTTGTTGTTCACCTTTTTTAAAGGGAATATAATAGTATAATCAAGGTTATGCAATTTTAAATGACTATAAATTTGAGAGTTGAATCAACTTAAAGATCTATAACTCTAATTTTATGAGATATTAGCCTTGTTAGGAGATGTAGAATCTCTAGATTATCGGGCTTAATAGATCACGTAGTTTGAACATTGAAATAATAACTTAAGGCCAGTTTTGTTCAATTTATTAGACAGAACGATAAAATTAATCTTTTTATGTTTATTGAACTTGTAGGTAGTAGATTGGATGGCAAGTCAATGGCCTGTGAAAACAATAGGACCATGCATTCCTTCAATGTACTTGGACAAGAGGTTAGCAAATGATAAAGACTATGGTCTTAGTCTTTTCAAAGCCCAAACCGATGCTTGTATCCAATGGCTTGATGCAAGAGAAACTGCCTCTGTGGTATACATATCAATGGGTAGTTTGGCTTCCCTTGGAGGTGAACAAATGGTTGAAATAGCAAAGGGTTTGGAAAAATGCAACAAATATTTTCTATGGGTTGTTAGGGCTTTGGAAGTAAGTAAGCTTCCTTTGAATTTCAAAGAGAAGACATCAAATAAAGGTTTGATTGTCAATTGGTGCCCTCAACTCGAGGTCTTGGCTCACCATGCCTTGGGTTGTTTCGTGACACGTTGTGGATGGAACTCGACATTAGAGGCTATTAGTTTAGGAGTTCCAATGGTTGCATTCCCACAATGGACTGATCAACCTACTAATGTTAAATGTATAGTCGATTTTTGGAGGACCGGAGTTAGAGTGAGGGTAGATGATCAGGGTTTTTTGACTTCTGATGAATTAGAGTTTAGCATTCGAGAGGTTATGGAAGGAGAGCGGGCAAAAGAGATTAGAAGTAATGCAACAAAGTGGAAGCAATTCACTAAAGAGGCAATGGAAGAAGGTGGTAGCTCTGATAGGAATATTGAAGAATTGGTTGCAAAATTGTTAAGCTACTCATAGATTCAAACTTTGTATGATGTTTTATGTAAGAAAGGTCGTAAGAGTTTTGTTTTATTGAACTTTGTGTGTATTTATTTGAAGATATGATTAGCAATTTTATCGAACTTTTAATGATGTTTAAGGTCGAATCATTGATATCAACGGTGATAAAGATATACTATCAATCAATCAATAACATAATACTAAAATAGATACCGGGAATAACATATGTCGCTTCTTGGTGTCATTTTTTCCCTCCAAAAATCATTTTTCAAAATTAATTATTATTCTAACTTTATTTTTCTTTTTATATCTTTTTAATTGACAACCTATTTTAGACAATAAAATTATATATATTTAATTTAAAGATTCTTATACTAATATTAATATTATTTGCTTAAAATGATTTTTTTTTATTCTAATTTATTACACTCAAATGGATTTAATTTATAGTATGAAATAATAAAAACATCTTCACGTTATATTACATCAAATTGACTTTAACACAGAAATTTATAACTATAACTATAATTTTTATATATTATATTAAAGGTGAAACCAAGAATGACATGTGTCATCTCCTTTATTTTTAAAAAAGTTTCCGCCAAGATAATTTTTTTTTTTTTTGCCAAAACTTCTTAAAGAAAATATTTAATACTATGCAATTATATTTCCTTTACTATTTGGTAATTATATTCCATTTATACACATTTAACAAAAATATTATTCTTTTTATATTAATACTATGCAATAATATTTTCCTGCATATAACTTTGTGACGTAACCTATAATTATTTATATTAATCATGCATGTAATACTCCCACGATTTTTTGTAGTATGATATAATTTTATTTTTATTTTTGTAATGACGAATTTTTCATCTTATTTGCATGCATTTAGATAATTTTTATAATTAAATATAGTGTTAAACTAATAACAAATAGTGAAAATTACCGTGCATGGCATGGGACCTAATCTAGTATATTGATATTTCTTACCCCATCTAAAAAAATTCATCTAAGAAGTTTGAAAATTATTTTAAAATAGTGGAAAATTTTAATTTCATTTTCTTATTTTTGTGCAAGATAAATAACAAATTCAGCAACTTTTTGGCGCAGCAGGCCACACCGTGTGGCAAGGGTTACCCGAATTATTTTGTTAGGTGTTACCCGAGTTATTCAAGCAAGGGTTACTCGAGTTACTCGGTCAGGGGTTACTTAAGGGGTTTGGACAGGGGTTACTCGAGGGATTCACTCGGTCAAGGGTTACTTGAGGGGTTACTCGGTCAGAGGTTACTCGAGTTACTCGGTCAAGGGTTACTCGAGTTACTCGGTTAGGACTTACTCGGTCATGGGTTAGTCGAGCTACTTGGTCAGGGGTTATTCGAGTTACTCGGTTCAGTGGTTATTTAAGGAGTTCAGTTAGGGGTTACTCGAGTAATTCGGTCAAAGGTTACTTAACGAGTTCGATCAGGATTACTCGGTCAGGGGTTACTTGAGGGTTTAGTCAGGAGTTATTTGAGGGGTTACTCGAGAGGTTCGGTCATGGGTTACTCGAGGGGTTACTCGGTCAAGGGTTACTTAGCTTGAGGGGTTACTCAGTCAGGAGTAACTACTCAAGTAACCCCTGACCGAGTAACTTGAGTAACCCTGGCAACTCGAGTAACCTCTGACCGAGAAACTCGAGTAATCCCGACAACTCGAGTAACCCCTGACCGAGTAACTCGAGTAACCCCTGCCGCACGGTACAGCAGGCCGCATACAAAAAATTGTGTAACAAATTAAAGGAAGTACTCCGTATAATATAATATAATATACGTAGTAATAGACTTGAAAGAAACTCCTTCAAAACAGTATTAATTCAAACAACAAACATATAATATTACTCATTATTAACAACAATATTGTTTATAGAAATCAACCTTGAAAGCATTTGTAAGAGAAAAAAAAAACATGTTTTTATGATAATCCCAAAAAGATATTGTAAGAGAACAACAGATATTCTGACATACTAAGATACAGACCGGTAACTTTTCTTATTTTTTACTTTTAGATAAATTAGAGCACGATCTTGCGAGAAGACATTCTTTCTTTCTTTTTTTTTTTTTTTTTTTTTTTGTAATTACCCTATGTATCTTACTTCTTAAAAAAAATGCTAAAGTGTTTTAAAATGAACTTGTTTTTGTTACTAAGCTTAAACTCTCAAGTTGTTTAAACTAAGATAAAAATTACTCTAAATTGACATTATTAGCGAACCAAAAAAATTGACCATCATAAGAAGGTTTGCTTGAATAATTAGGATTATTAATATATGTACAACAATTTAAACACAAATCTGACACATGGCGGATGAGACTTATCTAAGAAGGTCGAAGAAGGCTACTTAAAGTCAAGATATAGTCAAAGAGCAAATAACTAAAAAATATTAAAAAAAACAAAAAGAATAAAATCTTAAAATACTTTCTCTTCCTAGGTTTTCAAATTTCAATTTAATATCACAGTAATTTTCCCCTCACTGTGGGTGCTTTTTCTTTTATACGTATGTGAGTTTCTTTGTTGTTACTAGTTCACAATGTTAATTGGATAGTTGATTACCATGTATGGTCTTAATATATTATTATAGGACTTAGTTATATTTTGTTTACTTTTATCAATCATCATGATTCATTAACTTAAATATCTAAATTAATTTTATTTTAACTATTATGAACTAAGTCGAATTTGTTTTAGCTTGGTTTGGATTTATTTTTCTTATATTTTTATTAGAACTTAATTTGAATTGAACTTGTCTTACTTGAACTAAACATAATAAGATGCATTCAGAGTCTTGAAGAATTTTCGTAGAAGTTAATGGATTTGGCACCTTTGAGTATGGTTTAACTTAATGAGTTAATGGTTAATTTATCTTAATAGAAAAACAAGTTCTCTAGCTTTAAAAATGATAGAGTATAAAAACATATTCCTGGGTATCAACCATCGGCTGATAGAGTATAAAAACATATTTATAGGCCTCAACCATCAGCTTAAGCTTTTGGTTGAGTTGGTCCTCTAATGTGGTATCGGAGCTAGGGTGACAAAAGTCACGGGTTCGAATCTCATCAACCCCTCACTTTCAAGCGGAATATTTCGCACAAGAACTTAAACTTTTGGTTGAGTTGGTCCTCTAACAAAAAGCAATAGTTTTGTATGGTTTAATAACTCAACAAATTAACAGTTTTGCGACGTTGAACTCGAAACAAGTTCCATATGCATTACAATGTTATTGTAGTCGATATATATTTAGATATGATTATATGTTTGAAACTTGAAAGTAATGTGATTAGGATGGCAATTAAATTCGAGTTCGATTCGAATGCGAACCGATCCGAAGGAAAAAGTTCGATACGAATCCCTTAAGAAATAGTTTGAATCTGAATCCGAATATATAGGAGGCGGATCGAACTTGAATTGAATCTTTCGCAAAAACTAACTCTAGATCCGAATCCAACCAATATGATGTAAGAAATAAAATTTATTAGAGAAAATACAAAAAAAATTAGTACTTACTCAGTTTTTTTTTTTTATTGCACCATAGAGGTTGGGCACAATAATTTTGGTAGTGGGAAAAAGGAAGAGAGAAAAAGATAAGGGTCTGTTTTGTTCACCTTATTTTCACTTATTTCAGTTTTAATAAGTTCAGTTCAGGAAAAATAAATTCTAATAAGGGTTATCCAAGTTCAAATTACAACTAAAATACGAGTTAGTTTTAATAAGGTCTCAAATAAGTTCAGATAAGATCTGATAAATAAAAATCATGTGAATAAAACATTCCCTAAAATACAAAATTGCCCATATGATGTAAACATAAACTAAAAAATAAGTGTGAAAAGGTAAGGATATGTTGGGTATTTGTAGTGTGAACAGAGATATTTTTTTGTCCTAAAATAGAAATGGTGCAATATTTGTGAAACTTCTATAAAAGGCAAGTGGTGCAACATTAAAATAATGGAGGAAGTATATCACACAAACAGGGTGGATTTTTATCGGATTTCCGAATAAACAGACCAAATTTGGATGCTATAAATATGAGTCGAATCAGACTCCGAGTCGGATCAAGCGGATTCGTATTCGAATCTGAGTCCATGATCTGAATATCAAGCAAATCAGATTTGAATGTAGCCTTATCCGACTTGAAACCGATCCGTTGCCATTCCTAATTGGATAGGAGCATAATTCTTATGTCTTAACATCATTTGGAGAAAATGGTCATTAATCTACTTCTTTTTCATATTGGCCCACAAAACCTTCATGGCCTCATGTGATGAATCTCACTCCTATCTCTTTTATCCCCCCCCCCCCCCAACATCCCCCATCCCTTCCCCGGGCCCGTAAACATTCCTACCCCTTCCCAACCCTTGAAACTTCTCCCTCCCTTCCCCCACACCCGAAATAGAGTGAGGTAGTTACGAGGGTTGGGGAAGGGGGGTGTTTTAAGGGGTGGGGAAAGGGATAAGGGGAGATTTCAGGGGTAGGGGAGGACGGAATAACGTTTTCCGAGGAGGGGAGAGGTTTTAGGGTGGGGGCTAACTTTCCGACGGGGGAAGGGGTGGGGACTGGTGATTTATATTTTTTTCAATTTTTTTTAATTTTATTTTTTAACTATCGTTTTAATTTTTTTTAGACCAATCACGGCTTGACACGTTTCATGTAACCTGTTATAATAGGTTGTTGTCTTTTGTTGACCGATCATGACCTGTTAGAAGAAAACGCCCCCCCAAAGTAGGGATTATTCCATAATAATCAAAATTAGGAATTATTTAAAGTAAATGACCTAGGGTGCGTTTTATTCACTTGATTTTTACTTATCTAAACTAATCTGAATTTATTAAAACTTATTTTAGTCATAATTTGAACTTGGATTACCCTTATCATAACTTATTTTTTCTGAACTGAACTTATTTTTCCTCAACTGAACTTATTTTGACTTATTTGAACTTAACTGATGAACTTATTAGAACTAAAATAAGTGAAAATAAGGTGAATAGAATAGGCTGCAAAGTTGGGATTATTAAAACTAATCTTTCCTAAATTATAAACACTTCCTTAGTGCCTACGAATATTTTGAAAATAAGACTTTCACATAGTAGTCCATAACTCCATAATAAATAGGATTAATTGATAATAACACCAAAAAAAAAAAAAAAAAAAAAACTCTTTTACTATAACACCACAAAAAAAAACCAAAAATTTGATTTCACCACCACTTAACGGATTTTTGGACAGAATCCGTTAGTGGGGCCCACAACAGACACGTGTCACTAAACTGTGGTTTAAAAAATAAATAAAAAAAATTATAAAAAAAAAAGAAAAAAACCCTAAACAACCTAACCCAGCCCAACCCCACCAGCGGCACCACCTGTCCCCCACCGCCGACACTCCTGCCCCACCAAAACCGGCGAAACCCACCTGTCCTCCACCGCCGATAGCCTAACCCAAGCCGCTGGCACTCCTACCCCACCAAAACCGGCAAAACTCTTCCTTCCCCCCATTCCCCCTCCCCGAAAACCACCCGGCCTAACCCTGCCTTACCACCGCAAACACCACTTACGACAGCAACATCACCGTCGCCAAACCACCGAAACTCCAACCAATTCGAACCACCGCAAATACCAACCAATTCGAACCACCGCAAATACCAACCACAATCATAACGAATTCGAACCCCAACCAATTCGAACCATCGCAAATACCAACCACAATCACAATGAATTCGAACCCCAGCACCTTCGAGCCACCGCAAATACCAACCACAATCCACCGGATCGGTGCGAATTAGTATTTACGGTGGTTCAAAGAGGTGGGATTGGTTGTCTGCAGTGGCGCACGAAGGTGGCTGCGGGGTTGCTCGATGCGAATTCGTGATTGGATCTGTGAGGCTAGGCGAGCTGGGGTGGTTTTTGGGGAGGGGGAAGAGAGTAAGGGCTGGTTTCGGCAGTATTGGTGGGGGCAGGGAGTGCCAGCGGCTTGGGTTCGGCTCTCGGCCCGGCTGGGGAAGGTGGTGTCGATGGTGGAACTGGTTGGGTTTTGGGTTTAGGGTTTTTCTCTTTTTTTTTTAATTTTTCTTTTTGTTTTTATTAAATTATTATTTTTAAATCAATAAGCATTTGACATGTGTCATTTAACGCCCCACTAACGGATTCCATCCAAAAATTTGTTACGAGGTGGTGAAATCAAAATTTTAAGTTTTTTGTGGTGTTATAATAAAAGGTTTTATTTATTTTTTTTTTTTTTTTGTGTTATAATCAAAATTTGGATTTTTTTGTGGTGTATTTTCTAAAATTTCCTAATAAATAACATTATTTTCGTAAAATAACCTTCAAAATGTATTTACAAAAATGCTTATCATTAATTTAACTATTTTTGAATGTTGATGGCAGTCCCAAAAGAGACGTGAACAATCATGAGATATGAAGAATGCCAAGTATTGATTTAGCTATTTTTTACTAACCTAAAATTCTCCTCAAGTTGTATAAACTAAGATAAATTTACTCTACATTCCATATATTCTAATTAATTCGACAAATTGGATTGTTGTAAGAAGATTGGCCTAAATTAGGATAAATTAATACTATGTATTCCGTACAATTTAAACACTAATGACGGTCGACGGAATCATGGAATAGTGGACTCTGAAGTCTGAAGCATCTCACATTCTCACCACTTTTATGAACAAAAGAAAAAATGATGGTGTCTATAGTTTTTATTATGAAAAAGTTAAATCTCTTTAGTTATTAGAAAATAATACCTTTAAAAATTAGGATTATTACAAATTTTCCATACAAAAAATATTCTTTTTTATGAAATACGATACCATTAACTCATGCATTATCAATACCACTACGTTTGATTCGTTAAAACAAAAAATTTAACCTTTTCCCTTTTTTTTTTTGGGTTTCTAAGAAGAATTTGTATAACTTTATAACCAAGAGATTCATTCTTTGAGTGAATAAGAGGACTTTGTATAGACACTCTTGAGCCATTGCATGTTCATTGTTGTAGGCTCACTATACACTATTCTTTGGAAATTTTCGATGATGGTCCCTAATTTTTATTATACTAAGAGTCTATTATTTTCACCTTATTTTTACTTATTTTAAATTTAATAAGTTTAAATTCTTTTCTGGAAAATTAATTTTAATAAGGGCTACTAAAGTTCAAATTACAACTAAAATAAGTTTTAATAAGGTCTAATAAGTTCAAATAAGTTTAGATATGTTCAGGTAAGATCAAATTACAACTAAATAAGTTTAACAAGATGGGGGATTTTTCTATGTGGTTGGCCACACCGTTTGGTCGGGGTTACTCGAGTTACTCCTGACTGAGTAACCCCTCAAGTAACCCTGACCGAGTAACCCCTCAAGTAACCCTGACCGAGTAACCCATGACCGAACCCCTCAAATAACCCCTGACCGAGTAACTCCTCGACCAACCACTCAAGTAACCCATGATCGAGTAAGCCGAGTAACCCCTCGACCAACCACTCAAGTAACCCATGATCGAGTAAGCTGAGTAACTCCTGACCAAACCCCTCAAGTAACCCCTGATTGAACCCATCAAGTAACCCCGACCACACAATGTGGCCAACCACATATAAAAATTGTGTAATAAGGTCTTGCTTGATTCATATTATTGTATATTTTATTAGTATCAATTTTTTATAATTTTTACATGTATGGAAATGAAGATATAAACGTTTTGACACGTGCATTGGAAACCGCCAAATAGGGCAAAAATTTTAGGACAGAGGAAGTATATTGCATGGTATAATTTTTTGTTACTCCATATACATACATTAGTTGAAAATACAAGTCAAAATCAATACGAGCATGCTTGGTAAGAGTATTTATTGTGTTGGAAACGGATTCAATTAAACAATTAATATTACTTATTGTTTGGTTAGAAGGTTTATGTAACAATTACATTACCTAGCCTAGGGTAATGGTTTCCACCTAATTGTTACCTCTTAATGTAACAATTACCCTCCTTAAACAAAAAGAGAGGATGATATGTTTAAGTAATTCCTTTCCATAGTTAAACCAAAAATATGAAAAGTTAATGGTTAAATGATTCCTTTCCCCTGTCTTATTTGTTTCTTTTTTACTCTATTTCCAATATTCATAACAAACGCCCCCTAAATAAACTGTAAAAAAGTCAAATTATTGCGGAATTCTTTGTATTTCGTACTAATAATCACAAATTCACAATACTAATAAATATATATTGACAAACGTGTCAAATCAAATAAACCAACATAAAAATCCGAAATAATATTTAAAAGAATCTAGCTAACGAACGTCCTTGGGGTGTCAAATAAACATCTAAAATACTTCTTAAAGTGGTATTATTTTGGGAATTATGCCAAAATCATGCGTCGATCGATGTAATTAATGTTCACTTTTATTTAATGTAATATTTTTACTTTTAGTTGTCTTATCCAATGTCTCGTTATCTTTTACCTACTCATACTTAAAAAACTAAGCGTATTAAATAATTACTCCGTCCCGTAACACTAATACCATAGGGCCGTGGAGCCCGGCGACCCCACTGCCCCATGTTCTAATGTCTCTTTTCTTGGTCCAACCAACACCAACCCCGTTTTGGTTTTGGCTAACCCTAACCTTCACCTTATGAACAACAAAACTGTAAATTTCAGATCTCCATTTCAAAACCAATTCAAAATCCCGCCCTTCATACTGTAAAATTCAAACCCCAAAACTTTAATCCAAATCTTTTCACTAATTTCAAATTCAAAATTAAATTTTAACCCCAAAATCATATTTTAGCATGTGATTTCTGAACTACCGCTATCCATTACTTCCCCACTCTCTACTTGGCCTCTTTTTTTCTCTGCTTTTTAATTTCTTTTTTTTGATTTTTTTGTTTTTGTTTTTCTCTCTCCTACTTTCTCCATATTCATTGACTTACAGAGCTACTAAACCCAATCATTTTGCCAAGTTTTGAAGTAAAGAAGACTCAACAATTTCAAATCTGGGTATTATTTCTCTGCCTCCCTTTTTATTTCTTATGATTCACTATTTTTTTCTTAAAAAATTGGTCAAGATTTAGTATTTATAGCTTCAATTTTTGCCATTTTCTTTCTTAATTTACTTGTATTCCTGCATCATTTAATGATGGGTTTATTTAATTTTGTTATAAGTTTATTTCATTTTTGGATTTTTATTCAATTTTTGTAAATGTTTTTTTAGGGATGTTATTGATTTTTTTTTTTTTTAAAAATTGAAGTGAAATAATCTTTAGTCATGAGTGTGTTTTTATTTTTTTTCTGGGTTGCTGTAAATCTTAATAATTTTCAATTTTTTTTTTTGGATTTCTTTTTAAAATGGGTATTTTTCCTTTCATCTTTAACTAAATTTAACTAATTGCTCAATAACTTTAATATTTTTGGGATTTTTTTTGGGGAATTTTTGGATTGTATTATGCTGATTTTACTCTTGTCTAAAATTAGAAATATGGTTCTTTCTTTTAAAATTAGAAATATGGGAGTTGATTTTTTTTTTTTTACTTTTATGATACTCGGAATCGAAAATTCATACCAGACACATGAATGTGTCCAAGTGTCTTTTATTAATTTATTTTTAATATTTTTGGTTCAAAATTAATGGTCAAAGTATTCAAACCCATGTCAGAGTATCGAGAATCCAACACGGGTACTTAGTTAAATCGAAGAGTTTCATCAATCGAGTTCACATTTGTCTCTTAGATTGATGGAATTTGCTACAATCATAGATACATTTTCTGGGAATTTTTTTTGCTATATAGTAAGCTTAACAAGTACTTCAAACATTAATGGAGCACTTTATGTGATAAATTTGAACTTTAAACTATGTTTTTAATAGCTAAAATTACACTTTTATTTTGTAAGAAAATCATTTTGCAATCACATTTTGATAGTTTAATTTATAATATATTTATATGATTCGTTTGAAATGATCAAGGTATTTGTAGCTACACATTATGCATCCATCAAGAGATAGATTGCCAAGACCTGTTGACATATCCTCATTACTGCAAAATGCTGAACGCCAAGTTGATCTCGTAGTAGACGAACCCGGGTTACGTTGGATGGGATTATCAACACAAAATGCATCAACAGGACAGAGTAGTGGTGATAATATTAAATCGAACAAGCAAAGGGCTGGACTACAAAGAATACGACATCGTCGTCGGTATATGAATAGATCATTGGTTGGTAAAGAAAATCAAAGGCCAAGGAGTGTAAAAAAAGGCCATGGAAGCAGTATTTTGCCTTCTTGGTACCCAAGGGTACCTCTAAGGGATATTACTGCTATTGTTAGGGTAATTACTCTCATCTTTGTGATTTACTTTTGGTACATTATTGTGTTAAATTGTTGGCATTGGGTATACTTAATGACTAGTTAATGATTTGATGAGGTGTTTGGTTATGATTATGTTTGTTAAGCATGCTTCCTTCATCATCAGGATTAGTGTATATTCCGAATTTGTGTAAGGGAATCATGGCTTTTAATTTTTTATTAACAAGATTATTTCTTTCCGGTTTATTTGATGGGTGACAATGGTAATGAATTTGTTTGTAAATTTGCAAGGATTACCTCTAGCAAAAGTCTATAATATTGTGGTACTATACTATCTCCAAGTATGTGTTTTTCTTTATATTTTTTCTTTGCGCTCATACCATATTTAATATGGTAATGGGTGATAATGAAAATTTTACAAGAGACATATTTGAGAAAAGTTGCATTTTTGCGGATACTGATCACAAAATTGCACTCAAATCCACTAACATTATTGATATTCATTACTCCCTCCGTCCCGCTAAGATTGCCTCATTAGATTCATGGATCAAATGAGACAATCTTAGTGGGACGGAGGGAGTATTGCATACCAAATGAGTCTTCACGAGTTTGAGTCTCATAAGTAGGCTGTAAACTCGCTGAAGTTACATGTGATAAATTGCAAGTTGTTTAAGTTATAATAATGTTGTTTAGGTTGGCTGAAACTTTGGAATATGCTTGAATGTAATTTAGGAGGATCAAACATTGATTTGGTTCCCTCGTACGGGTATCATATCTAATGATCTGATCCTAACCGTTGACCTATAAAAATGACAAGTCATTTTGGTAAAAATTACAGTACCTGTGTAACATGATTTGTTTGGTGCACTAACTTCTGTTATATTTAAATTTTAGGGGTATGATCTGTTACAAGATACTTGGTTTTGGATTATTTAATTCCACCCACCTCCATTGCAACAACTACTGTTTTTGTGGTTTTGACATGTATTCTCAGTCAACCTTTTTTTAGTTTAGCTTATGTTGGATCTTGACCGTATGGAAAAGAATTAACGCCAACGATTGGTTTTCAAATTTCTTTTGCTTGTGTTTCTTTTAGTTTTTTGCATTGCTTAGAGTTGGGAATTCATGTTGGACATAGGTTTGTGTCAAAGTGTTGGATTTATGTTTTTTGTATATATATTTCGTATTTCTGGAGTTCAAGTGTTAAGTGTCAATACCCATGTATGGGTAAAGCAATTGAAATGAAGAGACTTGAGTATCATGGCATGCTTATGTTGCCTGACAGAGCATAAATCTATTCTGATGCTTACACAGGCTATTGAGAGGAAAAGGGCCGAACTACGTGACCATCAAACGTTAGAAACTCCTCAACAAGAAGCTGAGGCTTCAACATCCAACAGTCAACCTGATGAGAAGAACATCTCAACACCCAATCCTGAAGCATGTAAAGTTAGGGATAGAAATGCTGATCATAAAGGGAAAGAAACTGCTGACATCTTCACTCCGCGGAAGAGATTACTCGGCTCAATTGATAAGGTGAGGCATATTTGGTTGGAAGATCAGCGGAAACTAGAGAAGACACCAGCTGCTAAAAAGGCAGAGAGGCAGAAAATGGTGCGCGTTCTAATGTCAATGCGATGAAATGATAACGCCCAAGGAGATTCAAGGACATGGGATGTTAGCAAGAGACTTCCGGCAATCGGTGATAATAATTGCCTGGCTAAGTTATATGCACAGATTTAGAGTGCAGAATTCATTGCTGCAAATAGGAGTCCTGGTTACTGGTTAGCCTCTGCTAACAATTTTGGTACATTCAGGCTCTACTTTTAACTTATCAAGACCATACGCTAATTTATGGTTGTAGTGTAGGACTATTAGCTCAACTCTTCATGTACATAACTGGTAAAAACAATGCCTTTTCTAAGGCTTTTATTGCATCTGCATGTATATTATTATGTTTTTGTTTATTACTGACATCTTCCTAATTATATTGGCGTTACTTTCCTTGATTAAATTTAGTACTTTGCTGCAGATCTTAACATAAATATGACTATAAAGATGACTCGTTATTGTAAGTCGTGAGACTTGCCTCGCGTACAACGGTTTGACATTAAATAAAGATAAATTAAGTGAAATTTTGAATGTGGATTCTGCCCATTTTGGGCACCCTTTGAAATTTATGAGTTATGACACAAGTAGTTAGTTTAGCTAAGCTAGTGAGCATGAACGTAACAAAAACACGTCTATGTTGCTCTAGGATTAGTTGGGCGTGCCCAATGAAGATTAGAAGCAAGGGGAAGTGGCAAATTGTTCGACACTAACTTATTGGTGACAGTAACACGTCTATGTTGCTCTAGTTTTAGACATTTCTATATTCATTACTATTTCATAAAACCCTTAATAGCTCGAACATTCACTATGTATGATATACACTTTTTCACTATAGTTGAACATTCTTATGTTTAAGAAAAGTCTTGTAAGCGTTAGAGTCACTTAGAGAGAGCAATGAATGTTTGTAAATCAAACTTAGCTTGCTATTTGTAAATCAAATGTTGAACACTATGGTGCAAAGGTGGATTTTTTTTCTTCCTCCTTGAGTTTTCCATTGTAACTTTGTCTTCCTCTTTGGGATGGTTCACTTTGTTGCCATATTGATCGGTTCTAATTGTGATGGTAGCAGCGGAAAATTTGTCAAAGTGAGTTTTCTTTGGAAACAATTTCCCAAAGTAGACGCGTGGCGAAACTATTTACCAAACTAAGCTTCAAGGTAAAACGCCAACCAGGGAGGCGCTTTTACCCTGGACATTTAATTTTTTTAATTTTTAGTAAAGGAAAAAACGCCATCCAGGGTGGCGTTTTTACCTTGACTGGATTTTTTTTTTAAAAAATTACCCAAGTCAAAAACGCCACCATGGTTGGCATTTTATTCCTCCCCATAAAGCGCCAGCCTGGTTGGCGTTTTTATCTGCTATACAAACACAGCAACAACCAACATCAACTACAACCACAGCCAACAGCAGCAACAACAACAGCAGCTACAACAACAACAACAACAACAATCAAAACAACAGCAGTAACAGCGACAACCACAACAATAGCAAGAGCAACAACCACAACTACAACTACAACCATAACAACAACAATCACAACATCAAGAACATTAACAACACTAGCAACAACAACAACAACAACAACAACAACTAGTACAATGAAAAGAATGAATAGTAAAATTGTAATATTTGTTTGGATACAATGTACTAGAGAATGTGATTACAACAAACGAACAGAGGAAGTTCTAAGATCCTGATTCATCTATGCTACGTAATTGCTGTCTATCAAATCGCGGTCTCCTACGACGGTAGTACCGAGATACCGTTGTGAAAGGATATGGGGAAGAAGTCTGGGGAGGAGTCTGTTGGCTGGAAGATGGTCCTTCCTGTGATGAGTATGGCACAGACATGGGGATGGTGATATCCTCCTGATCGTAAAAAAACTGCGGGGATGTTGTAGGGGACGTGTGAGTCTGTCCCCTACTACTGTCGCCTACCTCACGGTGTGAACGGCGGTGTGATTGGTCCCAACCCTGGATAAGATGGCCATGACCATGTCTCCGTAAGCTACTCACAGTCATTGCCTGAATTTCATCCAACTGTGGTATGGTGGGATATGATATGCTTAAGACTTCCACTGCGTCATGTATAGCAAGCATATCAAACGCCTGCATTAGTCAAGAATCAGTCAATTTAATAATACAACAAATTATAAATAGGAAACAAAAAAAAAACTAACACCAAAAACTCACATATCCACTGATGTCTCCAAAAGTTGGCTGGTAATGCGTTGAGGGTGGGGTGTAGTTAGGGTTGATGAAGTGTCGGGTAATGTTCCTGTACCATACCATGTATGGATCGTGGTACTCTATCACGCCTTGGAAAGGTGCACCATCCGCGACGTGCTGCAACCGCTGGTCCCACATGTCAATAAAAGGGGCATGCTGAACTGCCCAGTTCACGTCCCCCTTTCCTCGTCGGTCTGTCCTGTGCAACTGGACACTCATGTCACACGAGGCGGGGACGGCCTGACAAAGGCCGAACTGTCGCATGACTCTGTCCGGGAGGTGAGCCTCCACTACCTCAAAACAGATGAGGACTGTCATGGCACGCCACTCCATCTGATGATCACGAAGGTATGGGGGCATGGCATCGACTTGGTCAGGGACATACGGATCCCACGTCATCTGCATTAACACGCTATTGTTAACATCATAATAAATTTATTAAAATAATGAACGGGATGTTAAATTAGTTTTTAAAGTGAACTATCACCTGAGACTCGCTCAGCTGGTCCAATGCATCTCTGTAATATGGTAGACCCCTCGCTGCATGCACACGAGTAAGTCTCCGCACAAGCCACCTAATTACATGTATAATAACAGTGTTCATGATAAATGAATAGCAAATGTAAACCATATGTGGAAATCTTAACAATAAGTCATACATACCGACAACCGTATGCCAAGTCTGGTGGAGGGAGTGGCGGCGCCTCATATGCATGCTCTTGATCGTCTTCCTCCTCCTAGCGTCGACGGCTAGCAGGCCTAGCTGGCCTACCAACGTGGATGTGCTCCCAAGCCCATAACTGTAATAAACAAACACTAGTTAAGTCTAACCACCGTTAAGTACGTAATAGGTAGAAAATGGTATGAAAGTAAAGGTGTACCTGAAGCACAATCAAGGGACCGCCGATCTCCCATCTACCTCGCTTAGATGCTCTGCAAAGATGTCGATACAAGGTTGCCAGACACGCACTACCCCAGCTGTAGTCACGTATACCCTCCCAGTTGTTCTCTAACACCTGTAGGTAGATCAACTGTATGTGACTACCACTCTTGTTACTAAACAATGATCCTATCAATATGAACAGGTACACTCGAGCGTATCTCTGGACGACCCCATCATCAGCATCAGGAGGCAACTCCCCAAATGTCTCTTGTAACCATATGTGTCTCAGCCCTGTGCCTCTAATATCGGTGGCCTCAGGCCTCACCCCTAACACCCTCTCAACAAGGCCACGAGGGTCCTGTATAATGGGCCCTGTAACTGCCCTACCATGTACTACTGGGAGCCGTGTAAGTATCGCCACATCTCAGAGCGTGACGGTGGCCTCCCTAACTGGTAGATGGAAGGAGTGAGTCTCCTGTCTCCATCTCTCAACGAGCGCAGTAATTAACGCTCGATTTATCGGTGTGAAGGCCATCCTCTAAAATCCGCCGAAACCCACAAAATCGATGTACTATAACACACGCGGGTCAACGACCCAATCTTCCACCGTGGTGCCAACGTGGTGCATGCAAAGCAAGCACCGTGCTAGCTCACCCTGCACAACAACAAAAAAATACATTGTTGGATCAGTTAACAAAAAAAAATGCCAAAACATTAAATATTTGGTAGATGAAAACTTACTGCCTGCTCCCATATGTCACGGCTCCGATGGGTGTCCTGAAGTGTCAAGACAGAAGGGTCAGTTGTTCCTGGGTCATTTCGTGGTGGCCCCTGCTCTTGTCCCTCCATGATCTCTGTTCAGTGCACAATGTAAAACAAGAAGTCAGCTACATCCTAATTGCAAACATACAGACAACATGGTATTAAAATAAGACATAAACTAAGACCACTACCGGTCACCGCCCGTTCGAAACGGACAAGATCTCTTATTGTGTCCTTCCTGAAGACAACAACTACATTTGCTTGGTGGACGGCTGGTCTCATCCATCTCATTTCGTATACGCTTTGACTTCGACCGACCATGTCCTCGGACCATGCTCGCATCAGGAATGATTTTAGGCCCTCTGTATGTCCTCCATGTCTTCTCACAAGGAATACACCAGAACTGTGTGGCATAAGTACTCGCATATGCTTCTGATCGTAGGAAACTGTCCACCCATGGTTCCTCAGAAACTGAATACTTAAGACACACGGCTAGAACATGAGAACACGGTAGGTGAAATATCATCGGCTTGTTGCTGTACATGTTCTCAAATTGAAGTTAATGGTATGCTTATGACCCCCTTTTCTGCCTATCCTCTCTCCCCGGTGTGTATGTACTTGGTATATACCAAGCTGACGGCTATAAACATCCATTGTATGGTATTTTGCCTTTCCGTTATTCTTCTCCAAAATAGCAGTGACCTTAGGTGAGTATGCATATCCGTTGGCACGCCTAGCAAGTGAACTATCCCTTCTTGAGTTAAAGTACTTGTTAACTCTGTGGAAAGTCAACTCGACAAGGGACATGATCGGTAGAAAACGAGCTCCCTTCAACACATTGTTATAATATGTTTCTGAGAAATATGTAGTACATATACCATACCTAAGACCAACGTCATGAAACAAGGACCACCTGTGCAACGGTACATCCATAATGTACTCTAGGGACTTGACACAAGATTCGCTGATAGAACGCATACCTTCCTCAAATTTTTTTTCTCGGCGTTGGTAAGTAGCAGCCTTGAACCTATCTCTCATGTCGTTGTTCTTCACATGAATCCTCAAGTTAGAGGCCGTGTGTTGAATGCAAAACTTGTGAACGACTCGTGGCTCATGAAATCTAACATCGTGGTTACTCATTGGAGCAATAATCGCAGCATGTCGGTCAGATATAACACATAGGCCCTCTCGGTCAGTAACATGAACCCGAATGCAGCTTAGAAACCACGGCCAACTGGAGGTGTTTTCCCCTTCAACTATTGCAAATGCTAGAGGAAATACCTGAAAATTAGCATCAACACTTGTAGAAACCAAAAGTGTGCCTTTATATTTCCCATACAAGTGTGTCCCATCTATAGACAAAACAGGCATGCAATGTTTGAACCCATCGATGCAAGGCTTTATATTTCCTAGACAAAACAGGCATGCAATGTTTGAACCCATCAATAGACAAAGTGTGCCTTTATATTTCCCATACAAGTGTGTCC